TCGCACTCCTTACCGATATGTCCCTTGTAGTGGGGGGTGCTCGCAGTGACTGCGGATGGCGCCGCAAATGTCAGCAAAATTGTAGAAATGTCACCAGCACACCAATCCTTTTAAGATAGCAAAAGCTTCATTTATTGAAGTTTTTTGTCATATGACCAAACAAGCGCTTTCTGGACCACACAGGGTCCCTTCATCAGGCTTCGGCATTTACCTTTTAGCATTGACCTTTTGAGACCGCACAGGGTCCCTTCATCAGGCTTTAGCGTTGATGGGCCGGCAGATGTTATCAGGCATCGCTGCCTGTTTTTAAATGGGTCTTTCCCGCTCGCGCGCGCCCGAGTGGGCGAGGCTAACAGGCCGTATAAACACGCCCTGTTAAATCCAGGAAGCTCCTGGCCGGCCGTTTTTTTTTTACAACTGCCGGCCGGGAAGCGGTTAATAAATAGTAAATCACTGAAAAACAAAGAGGTAGAACTGAGATTTAAAGCGCACAAAACAGTAGAAATACAGCACTAACCAATCAGCCTGGTTTTATGTTTTTGCCTGTTGTAGGAGGGCTGGGTGACCTATGGTGACCTCTATTAACTCAATAATAACTCAAAAATGAAAGGAGATAGAATTGAAATGTAAATGGCACTAACCAACCAGCCCAGTTAACTTTCTTTTTGCTGCTGTTGAGGAGCTGGGTGATGTCATTGCCTGGAAAAAAACGAATGCTATTATCTAAAAAATAAAAGCAGCACAAATTTTAATTTTTATGGCCCAAAAAAATCCCAAACATAACACTAAAAAAATTGTATATTTTTTCAGATTTTAAAACATGTTGTGCAAAGTGAGTGAGGTTTTATCAAAGAAAAAAAAACTGTTATGAACCATAATAAAAATATAACAGCACAAATAAAAATTTTAGCAGCACAAATCCAGCACTAAGCAGCCAGCCAGTTTCATGTCTTTTGGCTGTTGTAGGGGGGCTGGGTGACCTTTGGTCAGGGGTGTCCCGAGGCCCAAGTGTCAAGTTTCCGAGTGACACCCCGCTGTGACGTCACCCCCTCATGTGCGGCGATCTTATAAACACCTGCCAGCGGCCATCTTGGTGATGGACGCCGGCAGAGAGAGGAGGGGAAGTCACCCGGCGGGATAAGGTATGGTCAGTCCGCCGGGTCCCCTTCTATCTCCCGAATGACCGAGTGCCCGACTTACAAAGGGGGTGACACCAAAATGACTGTCAGTCATTTTGGTGTCACCCGGGTGCGGGTCACCTCCCTTGTGACGCCACTGCCTTTGGTGACTTTTAATAAATTAGTTACCAACTCAAAAACGAAAGGAGATAGAATGGAGATTTTACTGGCACATACCAGCACAAACGTGGCACTGAAAACTAGCCCGGTTTCATGTATTTTGGCTGTTGTAGGGGGGCTTGGTGATGTCATTATCTAAAAAATAAAAGCAGCACAAATATTAACTTTACGGCACAAAACAGCACAAACATAGCACTAAAGAAACGCAGTGGAGTTTCCATTTGTGCCCATTGTAGGGAAAGCCAGCTTCGCTGAGCTAATAGGAAATACTGGATATACTTGTAAGTTTTATTCTGCTTGTCGCAAGCACAGACTCAAAAATTTGTATAAGCAAGATTTTATTTGTATTTATCCACTTCATTTTAGCTGCTGTGAATCTACTAACTTTGGGTAGAGATTAGCCACTGGCAAGACAGTTTGGCAGCAGTGACATCCAGCCCGTATGCAGAAACTCACGGCATAGACAGCTTTTATTTCCTTTAAAATATTGCCAGCCTCTGGATCTCATCTCTCAAACATAACATGAAGCATATGCTTGGCAAAAAACAGATAACTTTGTTTAAAAGGGATGAGTCAAAGACTTGATTCCTTTTTTTATTAATAGTTACATAGTACAAAGAGAGAAAAAAAGGAAACGGTACAAGGAAGGCTCTAGGAAGAACTTTTTTTCAACCTAACTATGTGGGACTTTATTTCAAGCCCCAACACTTTACAATCCACTTCTCTAATACCTATAGCATTATTATTAGGGATGCACCAATACAGTTACCGGTATCGTTATCAGTGCCCATAACAAGTATTTGGGTGAGTACTAGTACTCGCCCAAATTCTCAGATGCCTAGCCCGATACCCGAACTTCCGGTATCAGGAAAGTCGGGCAGTGAGTCATTACACGCTGCCCGGCTCCCTGATTGGCCGGGAAGCCGCCTCCATGCTCCCTCATCATCAAGTGAGCATGGAGCCGGCCAATCAGGAAGCTGAATTAATTTCACTATATTAGTACCCATGTTGGGTTTATTTTTTTATTTTTTCTTGTTATAAAATGAGTGTATTTATACAACTGTAATTGGAAAAAGCGATCAAACAACATTTTACTTGTTATTCTAGATGTGACTATGATGTTAAAGTGACATTAACCACTTGAAGTCAGCAGTGTTAAACCCCCTTCCTGTCCAGGCCATTTTTCAGTATCCCGACACGCGCGGCACCTCATGCAGAACGGATGGGTTTTTTCTGCCCGAGCAGAAAAAAGCTGTCTAATTACGCCAACCTGCCCATGTGAGTTTGCCGTCCGTCCGTTTTTTTTACAATGGGCGGACGGCAAACTGTTAAACATGATCAACCACTAATTGGTGCAATCTCAAGTCTTTAAGCACCAACAAACATCTCCGGCTAATGGGGATAAGTGGAAATGTGGGGGGGGGGTTAGGTTTATGGACTGATGGGCTGGGGCACTGCTGGGTAGGTCCCAGGACTTCTAATAGCTGCCTTGCTGGTACTTCAGGGCCCTGGCTTCCTGCGGGGCAGCCTGCTGCACCCACCCGCTGGACCTGCTGAAGGTAAGCGCTCACCCGTGTGCTGGCATGGAAGGAACTGCCTATTAACGCGTGTGTGCGGGTGATGCCCCATGGGGATTGGACTGTGTGAGTATGATGGCCGATCCCGGAGATGTCATTGTGTATGTGTCATTCTAACTGCCTAGTCTGCAGTCTGCCGTGCATTGGTTCTGGTCTGAGGTCTGCCCTGTATTGGTTCTGGTCTGAGGTTGCCATGCATTGGTTCTGGTTTGAGGTCTGCCTGCCGTGCATTGGTTCTGGGCTGAGGTCTGCCATGCATTGGTTCAAGTCATGGGCAGACTGACCATTCAGATGGACCAATTCAGGGCCTTACCGCACACATCGAGCGGAGGGGGGGGCAGGGATGTGCATACCGCACGTGTAATATGCGCCCAAACCTCCACTCCAGTCTTAGAATATTCAATTGCCCTGTCAATTCTCCTACTAATTCTCCTGCAATGTATCCAGGATAATTGGCAGAATTGATGAATTTAGGTCAAAATAGCCAAACCAGAAAATGTGGCCATTTAGCTCACTTTACAAATCACCTATATTGATCTAGATTTTGAAATTCTCCTACCTGCAATTCACCTTTTTATTGAATAGACCTGCTATTTTGAAAATAGTATGGAGAAATAATTTCTGTAACACAAGATGGTATAAGTATATGTGGGTGGGTCTTGTATATGGGCAGAGCACAAGGGGGCCCCATAATCTCATATTGCCCAGGGGCCCCATCTGTTGTCAGTCTGCCCCTGCCTGGTTCCTGTCATTTGTCTATCTCAGACCTATATCTCTGCATTTGTAGTGATATAAATATAATTATTATACAGCATCTTCAGTTACCAGTGACAAGAACTGAGTAAGTATTGTAATGATTCATGGAGTAATTCATCTTGCATGCAAACCAAATTTCACTTCTCATCACTGTTGCCCTTTGCCCGGATGAATGATGCATAGACACCCCGTTATCAGTAAGGATACACTTTGCCTAAGTTAAAAGTCCAGTCTACCAGATTGCAGGTTAAAGTGTAACAAGCACACAATGTGCGTTGCACACTGAATTAATTCATCTTCAATCCCAGAGAAGAGAAGTCGTCAATCAAGTTTTTTTGTAATTTCTGTTACAAAGTGTAAGAAACATGGATATCCTAGAGACAGACTCAAGATATAAGAAAAGCTCTCTGGCTAATGTAAGTTCTGAAATGGTGAAAACTGGGGTGAAAAGGGTACTGCTTAACAGTGAGGCATGAATCACTGAATCACTATTTAAGTGTCTTTAAAGTATACCTCCACTTTTTTATGGCAATGTTAATACTATAATACAGGTAGAGAAAATCATCGGCTTTAATGGTTATTTTGTACCTTTTTATGTCTGTAAAGGTTTTTGGAGTATTCTTTAAAGGGAAATATTTGTATTTAGTTTGTTACAATGGCAGCTATGGCTATTTTTTCTGAAGTTATTGACACTTGTCTTGTAATTCTCACACAGGCAAAGTATTTAATGTGCCTGGAGTTATTTCATAGAAGCAGACTAAAGTTAGTATTCAAGAGCAAATAACAACATAACATGACAATATTGGTAAGAAATAGGAACAAATCTATTACCTGTTAGGGTAGGTTTTTGCTGTACAGTATTATTGAGGGCTAGTTCACACCAGATGCAGTTGTGATGCAGTCCAGTTTGGCAGCTGCATCCAATATGCATCACAATGCTTTCCTATGGGATTTCTGGTGCTCTGTTCTCACCAGAGCATTCCGCTCAGATCGCATCACAAACGCAGGGCAACGTACCTGAAATCCCATTTTAAGCAAAAAATAAATACATTGTGGTACAATCGCGACAAAACACATCGCACTGCAGCTGCGCAGACTCACGCAATTCTGGTGTGAACTAGCCCTGAGCAATGTGGAGATTGCGTTTACTCTTAAAATTTATATTGTATTAACTTGCTAAGCAACAGCTCAAAGTGTGAAAATTACTTATACATTCTCTCGAACATTAACGTTCTGTGAAATTTAAAGGGCCAGCAAACTTACACTACCAAAAATGACAGACCTGATAGTGACATAAATATATACATGTCAAAGTCTCCACACTTACACAGAACGTGTCACCAGCTATTTCAGGTGGAAAACCTGTTCTTCAGTACATAATATTGCTTGTTCATTGATTTAATTTCTGATTAACTTTTCATAACATTTAAAAAAAACCTCAAAGTTTAAATATTTTTTAATAGATTCTAAAGATGGAAATATTCACATCTTTCCCTAAAGAACCTATCAACATTTTTGTCTTAGGCTAGAAGAGCTGCCAATATGCTCTCCAAAACCCAGAATTACTTCTTGTTAACCACTGATAGTCAGTGGCCGTCATGCTGTATTGCAAAAAAAAGAAAAATGGCAGTGTTGTGATGTGCCCAGTTTCCTACAACAAATGAGTAACTGTGGCAATGCACCTGCAATTGCACAAATATTCAGGCAACTCTGGCAATAGATTGGTATCTAGGGCACACACAAGCAGCACAACAGAAATTGGGCACACACATGAGCACTTTGGGCACAATTAGGGTATACACAGTGAAAAAATAGGCAATTGGGGTATATAGGCAGTTCACTGGCAAATGGGCCATACGCATGTGCAAGAGGAGCAAATGCAGGCAATACATAGGAAGCTGGGGCATAAAAAGGAAGGCTATGACCACACGCACATCTTCTCTGAGGCCAGGGAAATGTAAGAGAAGCACAGCTGGAACAACTCTAGCAGGCCTGCCAATGTGCTTCTTCTCATTCCACTGTGACTGAGAGTAATGATGTTGATGTCACTTTTGAAGTAAATCAATAGGCCAGATAAATGGCAGTGTAACTTCTAGATATCTAGGTCAAAGTTTGTGTTCCCAGCTATGTGTATCATCATCATCATTTGGATTAATAATTAACAGGGAACTGGTTGTTGGTTTGTGGCACCAGAGCTTTCTCGTGTGATTTAAAGCGTATTTCAACTTTTGCAGCCAAATTTGGAGAATAAAAATGGCTGAGCCCCAATGCCATTTTAATAAGGTGCAAAGAAATAACTGCTGTCACAGCACTTTTAAAATGGCACCTAGATCGTATGTAATAAAAAAAAATGGATATAGCCACCACACACCACCACTACATTGGGATTCCTGGATTATTTCAAATTGGTAGTGAAACAACAAGATACAAACCTATGCTAATTGTTTCACTTGATTGCACTTAGCCAACCCAAAAAGCTGTGTAAAAGTGCCCACACACTTGCAGACCATTTAGAGAAAAGTTGTATTCGAGTTTCTAGAGTATATGGATGCTATATAGAGATGATTCCTGGGTGCTACCTGACTTGTCCAGACTACCTATATCCTTTAGATGTAGATGTCCTCACTTTTTTAAAATTTAAGTTCAGTAATGACAAATGGAACTTGATTCCACCCTCCAACATTGGGTTCCAACATACAGGGAAGGGATGCACACTAACCTCAAAAAGATCGTTTGGAGCATCGATTTGAATGTCGCAGGAGAAAGAAAAAGTTCACCCGGCTAGACCTGCAAACTCAACTACTTTTATGAAGTTCCCTGCCAAATCGCTGGCTGTGGTGCCCTTTTAAGTAGAAAGCATTTACATAATAGTTTTCCTCTCTTTCGTTGCCCAAGTGACCCCTGCACCATGATTTCTACAACAAGCACCTGCCCTTACCATAGCTCAAGGACTAGAGATTTGGGGCATCATGGAAGAAATGTTTCTCTATGACTGTTATCTGCAGATCAAGCTGTCATTAGCATCTATATTTATATCTACAGTATATCTAGAGGAACCTTTGATTCATTGTGCGTTCCCAACCCCCAGGATCTACAAACATTTTTCGATCATGGGGACCAACATTGACCTGGTGAGGCAGATCCTGACTCCCATTGCCCCATGCCATTATCTACTACCAGGTGGTGTACACCCTATGTTGCAGCCGGTGTACCAACGCCTAGTTCAAGAAGAGGAGGCTTTGGCAGAAAGGGGTAGGAAGACTGGTAGCTGGAAAAGACATAAGACGTGGCTTGCCTTCGGGACTCAGTGAAGTTAAGTTGGAAATAGGCCGTGACCTAAGTCATATTAGAGGCAGACCCGGAAGCATAGAAAAGCTCTGGCATGGAGCTGATCCCTCAAATGATCTTGACTAAAGTGATACAAAAAGTTCAAGAGAGGGTTAATAAGTAAAAAAAAAAAAAAACCCTTAATAAGTATAAGCAGAAGATGAAATCCCTGAAAAATATTTCAACCCAGAAGATATGACAATACCGCCAGAATGGAAGAACAGATTTTCAAACCTTGCCTCTAATCTAAGGGGGTGGGAATTGTTTTCCAAGAATTAGTTCAACATAGGATTTGCAAAGAGTACAAAGCACTGCATATGCATATAAGAAGATAAATCCTTTAGAGAAAGATCTCAATGAATCCAGCTTGGAGATTTGGAAGATCTAAGAGAGCAAACTGCACAACTGGGCACATTCAAAATCTTAGGCATCTCCAACTGTGGAGGTTCAAATGAAGAACAGCTCTATCAGAATGCATATTGACTATTGTACTTTAAAGAGAGAACTACTTGAAACTCTGAAGCAAAAAGCCATGTGACAGATCCGACCTCGCATGAGATTGACAAGTAACTCTGCAGGGAACAGTTCTGAAGAGACATCACCACTCTATGCAGGCCCACCAATGCTAAAACACATCAAGCCACTATACCAGTCAATGACACCCCCTGCACTGTACCTGACACAATGGTGGGAAGTTATATTGCCTTAACCCTCATGTTAGGGACTGTTGTTTAATTCTGTGTAGATAGTATAGTTAAGTCTATTTGATTTGTAACTAAAAATCATGTTTCTTTGGAGACCAAAGACTTACACTTCTAACCAGCCCACAGGAGTAGCCATCAGGGGGACAGACTGCTCAATGTTAGATATCTACAAAGCATCAGTGTATTAAGAGGCCATTGGCTACCTGTAAATGCTTTGAACTTGTTGCTGTCAGGGGGAGTTTGTGCCACCAGCAGAGTTCTGAGTGTTCTGAGTGCTCCAGTGTGAGATTAAGGGCTCCATCGCCAAACTTATTCTACTGGCCAGTAATTAGACAGGGCTTGACCACTGTGTTAAGCCACATTGTCACCTTCACTATTTTATGTTATAAGGGTATATACCACTTTAACTTGCATTTTCTACTGTGTTAAGGATATTCCCTTTTCTCACACCTAGTGCATCTTGCAGTCTGGCAGGGCTGTTCACAGGCAGCTAGGGGAGCAAACAGTATTTACACTATATTGCCAAAATTATTGGGCCACCCCTCAAAATCATTGGATTCAGCTGTTCCAATCACCTCCATGGCCACAGGTGTATAATTCAGGATGGTTTGGGGGTTTTGCAGTTACTGACCTTTAAAAATAGCCTTTACTGACCTGTGTAGCTGCAGGCACTGTGGAGCAATTCATCCTCAAACATAACAGAGACTCTGAAGTCACGTTGCAGTCAGTTTCTGAACATCTTACAGCTCTTGCTGTAGGTTTATATTACAAGGCTGCTAGGTGGTGAAGTCCTGGGTGAGAGATGAGCTACAATTTAAGTCTTTCTGACTTTGAGGATTAAAGTGTATGTAAACCCAAATTGTATTTTTTGGTACGGTTGGAATTATGTCTCGCTGTATATATTTTCATAATGCCTGCAGCTACAGAGATCGGCAATAACTTGTTTTAAACCTTATTTACTGCTGGTTAGAAATATGTACATATTTGAATTTCTGTAGCATGACTGCAAGTTCAAAGCTTTAACTATGTGTGATGGATATCCATAGTAAAACTATTAAGCTCGCCCCTTCACTTTTCTAATTTCCAACTCGAAGGCAGTTCATCTGGTGGTGCAAAACACCAAATGCTTTCATAGCAGTGATATAGAGGTCCCTGAATTATATGTACATTCATTTTATGGTATAGATCGTTATGCTCTTGAATCCAGACTCTAGGGAAGCTTCACATGACGACTCTTGGGAGGATAATAACTGGGCAGGCACCAGTTCCGTCTTCTTGCCTCTTCCCAGTTAAATAACGCTACTGTTAAAGTGACACTAAATTCAGGAGTTAAATCTGAAAAAGCATTCAATTGTCTTAATGATTATCAAAAGTATTGTATTTGTGCATTAATCAGCTGTAGATCCTCAAATTATCTCTGAATTTGTGTTGACACTGTCCTTACTTCTGGAAGGTGACTACGTTTGTTCCCCATGGTCCCTGAGTGTGTTGTAAAGTAGCCACTACTACAAGCTCACTCCTGTGATGGACTACAATCTCATGTTTAGTATACTAATTTTTATTGAGATTGTAGTCCATCACAGGAGTGAGGTTGGAGCAGTGACTACTTTACAACACACCCAGGGATCATAGGGAACAAAAATAGTCACCCTGCAGAAGGCAGGACAGTGTCAACACCAATTCAGCTACATTTTTGTTAATAGGGTGCTTGAATGCATTTTCAAGATTCAACTGCTGAGTTTAGTGTCACTTTAATCTTGGTTGAGTACAGCTAACAAGTATAGAGGGCACAACCTGTTCAGATGGTGGTAGTATGTTTTAGGATTGTTGGATAAAATAAAAGGATGTGAAGAGACACTAGAAATGCCATTCAAATAGTGTCTCGTTAAGGACTGATCCCAGAATTTCAGTTAGGCCACTGCGGTAGGATCAAACCATGTGTTTAAGAATTATACATTACATATATAACATTTTTGGTGTCATTTTGTCATAATGAAGGTTATGTGAAGAACTTTTTCTTTAATTGTGTGTTCTCCCCACATAGGTAAAACGTACTATTTCAAAACTACTACCTTTCCTAGTGACTGTATGCAATTATTTTGTGCTGTGGATTCCCCTCTCGGAGCCAGGCTGGTACAATGCACTGATTAAGTGCTTACCAATCATCTGTTTGGAGTTTTTCATTGTTGTCCATTCCATTGGCTCTGGAAAGTTCAGTTCATATGCAAAGAAGATCTTACTGGGATTAGCCTTCTCAGCAGCTGGAGATGTCTGCCTGGTTTGGCCAGAATATTTTCAACTTGGTAAGATCTTCCAAACATAATTATTCGGAAATTAGCAAAGATGAGTTAGCTTATAAAATTCCAAAGAATTGGCTATCTTGATTATATGAAGGGGGGGTCATCTGTAGTGCAGCATTTCCTAGCTTCTGTCCAAGTTGACTTAGATATTCTCATTTGAGCTGATTTCAAGGCCTGTGGTGGCTACACTCCTATAATTGCCTCTTGATCTTGTGAACTATTCTTGTAAGGGTGTTGGATGCTAAAAGGGATAGCAGTATGACAAGTACACTTGTCATTTAAGTATGCAAAGCATAGACATAGACAATATGTTGGTTTCTGAGCAGCTATTTGAGATGGAAACTGTTGCGCTTTAGTGCAAGAAGGGGGCCCAGCTACATGAAGGATTTTTTTTCTTCTTGGAAATCGCCTTGAAATGCCATACATAAACTGGTTAAGTTACAAATATACAGTGAGGAAAATTATTATTTGATCCCCAGCAGATTATATAAGTTTGCCCACTTACAAAGAAATAAAAGGTCTATCATTTTTACCACAGGTGTATTTTAAATTATAGGGACAGAATATCAACCAAAAATCCAGAGAAAACACATGATACAAATGTTCTAAATTGAGTTGAAGTTCAGTGAGTAAAATAAGTATTTGATCCCCTACCAACCAATAATAATTCTGGCTCCCACAGACTGACTATGTGGTACACAGATTAGTAATGCCAATTCAAGAAGGTGCTCCTAACTCGTTATGTATATAAAAAGACACCTGTCCACAGAATCTCTTTTTCCATTAAAACCTCACTAACATGGGCAAGACCAAAGAGCTGCCAAAGGACGTTAGGGACAAGATTGTAAACCTGCACAAGGCTGGAATGGGCTACAAGACTATCAGCAAGAAGCTTGGTGAGAAGGAAACAACTGTTGGAGTGACTATTCGCAAATGGAAGGAATACAAAATAACCATCAATCGCCCTCGCTCTGGAGCTCCATGCAAGATTTCCTCTCATGGGGTAAGGATGATCATGAGAAAGGATCAGCCCAGAACTACACGGGAGGAGTTTGTGAATGATCTCAAGGCAGTTGGGACCACAGTCACCAAACAAACCATTGGTAACACAATACACCGCCATAGATTGAGATCCTGCAGCGCCCACACGGTCCCCCTAGGGTTGCCACCTGTCCAGGTTTCACCCGGACAGTTCGGGTTTTGAATGCTGTGTCCGGGTTTCATGGCACCAGAAACCCGGACACAAGATGTCAGACAGACAGGGGCAACCAAAATTAAGATAGGGGCTACTGGCCCTCCCACTGAAAATAGTCTCAATTGTGATATTTACATATAAATGGGTGGTGCCCATTACATATGAATAAGCCACGCCTCATTCTCCCAAAAGAATATGTCCGTGTGATGCTAGAGTGTTCGGGTTTCGCTTGAAGAAAAGGTGGCAACCCTAGGTCCCCCTCCTCTAGAAGGCACATCTGAAGTTTGCCAATGAACATCTAAAAGATTGAAAGAAGGATTGGGAGAAAGTGCTGCGGTCAGATGAGACCAAAATTGAGCTCTTTGGCATTAACTCGACTCTCTGTGTTTGGAGGAAGAAAAATGCTGACTATGACCCTAAGAACACCATCCCTATAGTCAAGCACTGAGGTGGAAACATTATGCTTTGGGGCTGTTTCTCTGCTAAAGGTACAGGCCGACTTTGCCGCATTGAGGGGCCAATGTATTGTAAAATCTTGAAGATGGGTCGTGGATGGGTATTTCAGCATGGCAATGACCCAAAACATACCGCCAAGGCATCAAAGCAGGGGATCAAGAAGAAGCACAATACGGTTATGGAGTGGCTTAGCCAGTCTCCAGACCTTTAATCCTTTAGAAAAATTATGTAGGGAGCTGAAACTTTGAGTTGCCAAGCGACAGTCAAGAAACCTTTGGGATTTAGAAAAAATCTGTAAAGAAAAGTGGACCAAAATCCCTCCTGAGATGTGTGCAAACCTGATAACCAACTACAAGAAACGTCTTACCTCTGTGCTTGCCAACAAGGGTTTCTCCACCAAGTACTAAGTCATGTTTTGCTTGGGGATTAAATATTTATTTTCCACACTGTATAACAGACATAGTTGCCTCAAGAGTAAATGCTATTTGCAGTAACGGTACCAATTGCCTTTATTTCTGGCATGCAGCATAGTTCCTATGTGTAGCAATGTGATTGTAGAAGCAAGAATCTGAAATCATTATTTATGATAACATGTTTTGTTCTTTTTCAGGAATGGTGATGTTTGGACTGGCACATATCTTATACACAATTGCCTTTGGATTTCATCCTCTCAATATTCGTCTCTTTATTATCTTTGCTCTCTTTTGTGCCACCTTTTACTCCCTGACAATCCCTTATTTAAGTGGACCTTTTATTTATATGGTGGCCGGCTACTCAATGTTGATCAGTACCATGGCATGGCGGGCGCTGTCCAGAGTCAAGCTGGCATCCCATGATTTCTCCTGGGCACATATATCTTCTGCATTAGGCTCCATATCGTTCATGATCTCTGACTGCGTCCTTGCAGTTGACAAATTCTGTTTCCCATTCTCTAACGCAAGGGCCATTGTCATGTCAACATACTATGGAGCCCAGTTACTAATCTCCCTATCAGTAATTGGACCATCTCAAGATGAGTTTCTGTGGAAGTCAAGATAATATAAACACTCTTGGAATTGCAAAAAAACACTTGAAATAGACATTTGGCTTCATGGTGGGTTTACTGAAAGAGATAAGTGTACTATTTGGTGTAATAAAAATACAAAGGAGAAAATGCAATATACAACAACCCACAGCAACTATTAAGTAATAATCTTTCACTGTCCTGTCTGCTGAAAAGGGAAATTTGTCTGGCTCCTATGGATTATTGCACTTGAAAATGACAATACCTTATTAAATATATCCATATTTATCTTTGTATTTGCTCCTTTTGACAATGTACTAAAATAAATAAAACAATTATTGTACAAAAATAACATTTTATATGTAGATTATTTATTTGCTAAACACCCAAGTCCATCTGGTAAAAAATCCTTGCTCACTAGTCAGCAGGGCTACACTGGGAAACATTCTGTTTGTCACAGACTTCTAAAATTCAGTAATTTGATGCAGTTTTAATGGACTAGCTCTCTGCAGTCAGTCCAAGCTGAGAAAGGAATAGTGTCCTTTCCCCGGGAAACCCTGCAGATCAGTAATACCCACTACAAAGCTAATTATTTTTCAAATTAACCTGTGACCAGACTATGGCCATTCAAATAAACCAAGCTGTAAACTAGTTTTAAAGCAGGACAGAAAAATTAAAAAACAAAGCAAGACAAAAAAACAACATTTGTAAGAAAGAAAAAAAATAATCCCCCCCCCCCCCCAAAAAAAACAACAGTTTTTATTGGACTTCTCGCCTTCAGTTTAGCATTGCACCCAGCAGAAGGTCCACTCCTCCATCAGATGGCATACTGGCTTTAATCATGAATAGCTAAACATCAGTAACACATCACGTGAGTGTCATTGCAGTGCAGGAATAAGGACTGCCTACAGTCGCAGGATAAGAGCAAGGACGCATGATGTTACCGGGCTGACCCTTGGAAAATGGGATTAATAAAAAAGCTGGGGCGGCTGGTTGCTTTTAGCAGCCTCCTTGGAAGAGGTGTCACAGTACCAAAAGGTTGATACAGGAAAATAGTTCAATAAACCACAAAGTGCATACCACAAAAGAAATCCAAATAATTCTGAATTAACCAGTATGGACTGACATTTTTAAAAGGCTCCAAAAAATCTCACTTTTGTTATTCTCTATAAAATTGGCTCTTTAGCTGGTGAAGCAAACTCCTGGAGGTGTCATAGAGACACGTCAGGGGGTAGCTTAGGGATTGCTTATATGATGTATCATCAACCTGTCCCCAAGTTGCGATATTAGTCAATGGGGGAGGGTAAAAATGTAGTAGGTAGGCCATATTTTACATAACGCATCAGTTTATAAACACAGTATATTGTGAATGCAAAGCTTTCTCTGGCCATGATGTGTTTAATGCAAACAGTTAAAATTGCAAGTCAAAAACAGTGCATGCTTTTGCTTTATCCATATTTTTTTAATACAATACATATGCCAGCTTGCAAATATTATCCACTTGACGGGGGGGGTGGACTAACATCTATGCAAAGTGATGTAATCCTTCCGTCACAGGAAAATTCTCTATAGGAACCAATTGTATACTTTGTCAATAATCGGACATGTTACAGGGTAGTTCTAATCTCCACCTTTTATTCTCCCTCTCTCTTCGTCTTTTATCTGTCACTTGAGCAGTCAATCAGATGAGATTGCAAAAGTGCCCCTTACTGATAATGAATGAGAGGAGGCTCCTACAGCACATAAAAAACTCTTGCGTAAAAAAGTCTCTCAAAAACACGTAATTGTATATCCTCCATAGGGCTTAGTTAACATCGATGCATGTTTCCAAGTAAAAGAAAAACACAAAATAATCCACTATGTCCCAAGTGTCAACAGACTGCAGGGTCATTTTATCTCCTACCTTGTCCCTGCCCAGTAATTTAATGATACTGGAAACAGAAAGTAGAATTCTGTTATGATGCCATGAGTTCTCCAGTAGGGTCAGACCCAGAAATATGCCTTCTTGGCATTCTTGATAATCTTAATGTGAACAGATATGCAAAACCTTTTTTTACTTGAAACTTTTTATGTAGCCAAAAAACAGTTACCTAAAACTTGGATACATCCCCCTCTCACCTTATTGACCTATCTGACTAACATCTATGACAGTCTACCCGTCAAGAAAGTAATCTACAAACACTAAGGCTGTCCTGTAAAATATGAAACAACTTGGGGCAGATGACTTTCCTTATCCACCACTTGTAACCCCCTAGGTTAATCCAATCTACATTTTGTTTTTTCATCTTCCTCCTTACCCTTTTCTGCATCCCCCCATCTTATTATTATTATGCAGGATTTATATAGCGCCAATGGTTTGCGCAGCGCTCTACAATATAAGGAAGACATTACAATCACAATACAATTCAAGACAAGATAGTAAGGAGTGCCTTCATGTGAGGGCTTTCAATCTAAAAGCTTAGAATCTAAACAATGGGTTTCCTTATTCCAAGTTAAACATTTGTCTTTCACTTAAATTGTATTGATCATTCTACCCCTAATAGTTAGTCATTGTTAATGGTTGAGCTTTAGCTTAAGTGGCTGAGCTTTCATTTTGGTTGTTTGTATGTTTAACAATAATGCTGTATGTATCATATGTTAAAATGTCAATAAAGTTTTTATTTTAGTTTAAGATGTTTAAACATTATCGTTGCTTTTTCAGGGGAGGAATATACACTAAGTGCAGCACTTGTTTCCTGAAATATTAAGTTTTCTGACTCCTCAACATCCCATGTCCATGTCCTCTATTACCCTACAATATGCTTGCTAAATCCAGCCACAGATAATGGTGGTCAGAGCAAGAAAACAATATAAGAAAACAAGTTATCACTCTATAAATTTTGAGGCTCCGTGCTGCGTTCTCTAACCTAATTGCCTTATAGCAAACATCGGGCTGGATGCCACCCTGGAGGCTCCTTACCTGGAATTTGCCAATTCCTCAGTATTCATGAATAAGATTCTAATTTTAATTGCAAGCACTAGATGGTGCTAAAAGTATTTTGTACACCAAAAAAATTTATAAATAACATATGCAAAAGACACTAATTATCCAAATCAAAGTATACAAATATATGTGCATTTGATGAGATAGAGACAAGAAACGTGAAGGACATGGATGGAGCTAAACAATGGTAAATTGCTATGTCTAAAGAACAACTCCAGGCAAAAATTCTATTAACCCATGCAGTTGGGCTACCCCCGCACTACAAGGGTTAACTGTGTCCAGGTGCTAAAAAAAAAAAAGTTCTACTCACCCAATCCTTCGAGCCAGCTTGTTCTTAGATTGGTCCCTAGGGCCTCTCTCCTCTGCAGTTGTCTAAGGTCCCTGAGTCATCACTTTCTATACAAGTGTATAGACGCGAGGACGCTGACTAACATTTCATCTGTGGAGACAGGCTTCAGTGACCAGACAAGCAGGGAGTCGGCTCGACAGTTCGGCGAGTATAACTTTTTTTCTTTAGCCCCTTAGACACAAACGAACAGTTAACCCTTGCAAAGGTAGCCCCACTGCAAGGGTTAAAAAAATTCCCCGGAGTACCTCTTTAAATATCTTAATGAATTTATCATGTATTATACATCATGATATCATCCATCCTTTTGGGGAATCAGATCACTTCCAGGACTCCTTGCTCCTCTTTACACTGAAACTGGTTCTTAATGATATTGGCTGAATGTTTGGGGTAGGGCTGCAGCTAATGATTATTTTCATAATTAATTGGCCGATTTTATTTTTTTCGATTAATCCGATAAAAAAGATAACTAAATACAATCCTTAATTTAAAATAAAATACACAAATGGAGTGTTACAAACAAAAAGTTTACTTCAGAATAAAACTGCAGGCACATTTTTTTTGCAATCGCACTGCACTGGAACACACGGCATTGTGGTACTTTGCGCTCCAGTGCAGGCGATCAGACTGCGGGTAGGAGGCGCATTTGAGGTGCCATTGAAATGAATAATTTTATTGTAAAGACATGGCGCTTAACTAGCTTCAGCCAGGGAATGACAGCTGTCGGTGGCAAGATTCGGTGGCAGCTAAATGTAAATACAGTAGACATGTGCGATTCGTTTCGTTCCGAATCGAAATTCGGACAAACTTTCGGAAATTCGGAGATTTGGATAATTCCGAATTACAGCTAAAACGAATTGAAATTCGGATGAAATTTCGGAAGTTCGGAGATTCGGATGCATCCGAATTCTGAATTAGAGCTATAACGAATGCAAACGTTAGCGATAGTCCGGAAACTCCCGAATGCTTTGACGAGTTTCCGAATGCTATTCGGGTCTGTGAGCCGAGGTGTCATATGAAAAGCATTATGACACCCCGGCTCACAGACCCGAATAGCATTCGGGAAAACTCACGAATAGCACTCGGGAGTTTCCGAATGCTAGATAGTATTTGACGGCTGAAAATGTCAAATGGGCGGAGCGAGCCATGACGTCACGGCTCGCTCCGCTCATCTGTTGACATTCGGGCTGAATATCATTTTGCGGCGAGTTTTCGTCGGGTTCGGGTGGTCGTCGTGTGGCGACTTTTTTTATTTCGGCGGGAGTCATGCATCGTGATTGATGCTGGATTACATCGATGGAGCCATTTTTTTTTAATTAAAGGAATAGTCAAACATTTAGTCTTTGTTTTGTTTTTTTTAATTAAAGGATTTTATCTAAAAGTCCGGACTTTTTACTAACTATTTGATTTAACCCTTTAGCGAATGGGTAGGAGTAAAAGTACCCCTTACTCATTCACAAGGGGGGAGGGCGGCATGTTGGTGCCCCCTTATTTAAAGGGGTACCCTGATGCAAATAAGCCCCCTTGCCCGCAGACCCCCACAACCACCAGGTCAGGGTTTTTGAGGAAGAGGCCCTTGTCCCCATCGGCACGGGGTCACCCTCCCAATGCCGAGGGCACGTGGCCTGGTAAGGTGCAGGGAGGGGGGGGGGCGGTCGATCATCCCCCCTTTCCTGGCCTGCCAGGCCAGTGCTCGGATCAAGGGT